GTATATACTACGTCAGCCAGAAGTTCTTTGTCTGAGTAGCTAGTTACCGTTTCTAAAAATGTGAGCAAGTTAATAAGACAGGATCTATTTTTAACAAACCCATGTTTTGTTGATTTTACAAGATTGTTCACTGAAAGATGGTGAATGATTCCCTCCCTTAGGATTCTCTCCATGAGCTTACAGATGTGTGATGTCAAGCTGATTTGACGGTAGTTCTCTGCTTAGCTCTTTCTTCTTCTATTTTTTGTTAAATTGTGGTGACATTTTCATATTTCCAGTCTAAGGGGCATTATATCTTGGTCCAGAGACTTTGTGAAAAGTAATTTCAGCGGAAGGCATAGTTCTTTTGCCAGTTCCTTTATGACTTTGGATTGTATTCCATCCACACCAATGCAAATGTCCTCCCCCAGATCTTCGAAAAAGACAGAAAGAACTCTGGAAAAAAATTACAGACCCATCTGCCTAACGCTCTCATATCTACAAGCTCATGAAGAGCATTTTAGAAGGGAAATCATTCGCCCATCTCGCAGTTCACAATCTAGTAAAATGAACACAACGTGGTTTTGTGAAAATTAAATTCTGTCCTACTAACTTGTTCACATTTTTGGAAATAGTAACCAGCTATTCCGACAAAGGACTTACATAAGTATTATTCCTGGACATTATTATAAGGCACCACGTGAAAGACTGACAAGGAAATTACAAACACATGGAATAAATGCTAAAATACTAGAACGAATAAAACATTAAAACAAAGAAAGCAAAGGGTCGTCCTAAATGGAAATGAATCTGTCTGGAAAGATGTGCTGAGTGGAACTAAAATGGAACCGCAAAGATCCATTTTAGAGCCAACCCTTTTGGTCCAATACGTTAATGCCATAGATGAGAATAATACAAACCATATCATCAAATTTGCAGATAACACTAAGATGTAAAGTAGGAATCAAAAACAATTTGAGGCCTTGCAGATATCTACATCAACTCCACAAATTATAAGACTGGTAAATGCTTTTTTAATACTGAAAATTGCAAGACCTTGCATGTAGGGTATAACAATGCACATTACAACTATCATATCAACAACACTACCATAGAGCAGATTGATGAAGAAAAAGACAGTAGTTAGGATACAACAGTCACTGAAAGTTGTATGAGAATTACGAGATGTAGTATACTGAATATTAGCAATAGTCAAATAAACCTTTGACTTCAAGGAGAAAGAAAGTGGTTATTCTTCTGTACAAATCTCTTATGCTCCACAATCTGGACTACTGTACCCAAGCATGAAGACCACACCTTCAGAGGAACATAATGTATATGCTTTAGAGAAAGTCCAACACGAAAAATTCCCCCCAGAATTAAGTCTATTCTATTGACCAGACCACACACTAGATGGTGAAGGGACGACGAGGTTTCGGTCCGTCATGGACCATTCTCAAGTCGATGTAAGTCTATTCTCATAGCGGGAACGTCTGAGAGCCACATTACTCACAATACTGTAAGCAGACATGACAGGGCTGATCTCATCGAAACCTTTAAACAACTGAACAAGTTGAAGGCTATTATTCCAGAACATTTCTCTAAGAGAGCAAATGTAACACATACAAAGGGGAAGAGCTTCGAACTCAACAAGCCACAATGTAGAACAGAAAACAGCTTTTTCACCCATTGGGTTATAAACTCTGGAATTGCCTACCCGCCGAAACCGTAAATGCCAAGAAATTACTTAATTTTAAAATCTAGTTAGAAAAAAACACAGGAACAATGGGGGATTCTTTGATAAGCCGCGGGCTTCCTGTCCCCATCGAGGCCACTAGAGAGATGAATACTTGTTCATTCTAGTATGAAGTTTATTATGTTTTGAAATAGTAAATAATTTAAGTTCCTTGGTTCTGAACTTTTTTTTGTCCAGTGCGATAATATATATTTGTAGATAAAAGTCTCCATAATTACCTACAATATTCAAGGTGGGAGACATTAGAATTTGTAAAGCTGTAGAACTCGTGTTCTTGGATTTATAGTAAATGCTTTGTTTGATTACTCCTTGGGACTGGTTCACATTTGACATTGGTTCCTGGGGTGTTTTTTTTTTTTTTTTTTTTTTTTTTTTTTTTTTTTTTTTTTTTTTTTTTTTTTTTTTTTTTCTACCACAGACGTGGCCACACATTTACAATGCTAACCAGCATATATACATTTTCTTATGTCCTCCATGGACAGGGTTAGAGAAGTGTTAAACATACAGTTCAAGGGTTTATTGAACACTCAACCACAGAAGGTGATTCGGTGCTTTTAAAATGCTAAGCTAACCTACATACGTAAATACAAAGATACACAGATTTACGTACGCCCTACATAAAGTATTAGATGTGTCTTTTACATAATGTCATTAATGTACATTCACAAAGGTGAAATGTAATTCTGATCAGCTTCCATATTTGCTTTATACCCATACATATACATACACACACACACATACACATACGTATATACACACATACATGCATTCACATACATTTGTCTCATTTACCCTGACAGGGTGAGGTAGCTGATAAAGAAACTAGTGTGCAATTAAGCACTTAATCACTGAAGGTGATGAAAGTGCTTTTACAAGCTCAGGTTATATAGTTACATCACATACATACATTGTATGATTGATACATTACATGGTCAATTTTGGATACAAGTCCAATATATCATCAAGTGTTCCAGTACTCATATAGTAACTACAGAGTTCAGCATACCTTAGCCCAGGAGGGCGAAAGTCAGTCAGTATGGGACATTCTACAATATAATGTTCAAGAGAGTGCATGTTCTCTCTTTCACAAAGTTGACACATTGTGTACTCGACATTTGGGTTTTGAGAAAGCTGCCAGATACGTCTATATCCCAGGCGTATTCTGGCCACTATAACATCACATTGCCGGGTTCTTGTTCTATTAGTCCCATATGTGAATGTCTCCTCACGATATCTATCATAATATTTAATGCTACAACTTTCAGGTCTTTGAGAATTTGTTAGGTCGGTGAGATTTTCATTAGATATTTGTTTAAGTATTCTCTTTGTCACTGCTAATGAAACACCCATATCAATTTCTACCACTGGTTTTCTGCAAGCTGACTTAGCAAGCATATCAACAGTGTCATGCCTTGAGATGCCAACATGTGATGGTATCCATAGGAATTTAATCTCAAATCTGTTTTCTTTGGCAGCTAAAACATTCATTCGAATATCACTGACTATTTTCTGGGTGTCACTACTATGTGCGTTCAATGCCAGGAGTGCACTCTGCGAGTCACAGTATATAAGTCCACTGCCTTTGTCTTTTAAAAATTCAGTGGCAAGGTATATGCCTGCAAGTTCGGTTTGAGTTGTACTTGCCCAGTCATTGACGCGCTTCATTGCTGTATGTACGAGAGAAGATTGTTCAAATATGTTACATGCACATCCGGTACATCGTCCACCTTCTTCTACAGAGCCGTCGGTATAGCACTGATAAACATCGTTACCCATACTCTGAGTACTTTCAGTGATGCTTTTCAGTGTTAACTGTTTTAACAATGTAGTGTGCACACTATCTTTCTTGGGCGCATTTACAAAATCAACTGATAGATCCCAGTTATCCCATGGAGTAATTGGCTGATTAATCATTAGTCGAGTTGGGTACATATTTAATATTTTGATGGAGTTGGCTACCTTGTAGAACCAATATACATAATCAGATTTCGTTCTTCTTCTATAGACCTCAGGTGAGTGTAGCATATTAGAAAGTTTAGCTTGAAACTTCATGTGTTGTCTAGATCTACTCAATGCCATCACGCCGAAAACTGTGCTAATAGACAAGATTCTCTCACTTATGGTAGGTAATTTTAACTCTGCTCTCATGTTAACTATTCTCGTGGACTTTGGAGCCCCAAGGATGAGACGCATAGCTTCATTTTGCAAGGTTTCAAGAGATTTCAGCTCTTTGTCAGTATACAGTGTGAGATGTAGAGCATTGTAGTCAATCACAGAGCGTATAAATGATACATAAAACATTCTAGCAAGTCTCACGTTAAGTCCATGATTGACACCAACAAGGACCCGCAAGGGCTTTAATCTCTCCCAAAGTCTCCTCTTGAGAGAAGAAAGGTACCCAGGGTCGTTAATGGGGACACCAAGGTATCTGTAAGACTCGCAGTTCTCAAGTGCTCGCCCATCTATATGATAATTGGGTGGTGGAATACCACATGGAATGAGGGCACGAGTTTTCTGTACAGAGATAAGGAGGCCACATTCCTCAGCTCTAGTAGCAAAAGCGTCGAGCAGAACTTGCATTCTAGGCTCGGTGGCAGCCTGTAAACATATATCATCAGCATAACAAATGACAGTGTCTTCATTATTAGTTGGAAGATCTTTAATAAGTTTATGCATCAGAACGTTGAACAATAAGGGACTGAGGACCCCTCCTTGTGGAGTTCCCAGTTCAAAGTGTTTGCTCTCTGTGCTTTTAACACCATTAAACAAAACATATGCTGTTCGATTAGACAAATAGCCCTTTATCCATTTCAGTAATTTTCCTTGTATTCCCAGCTCGGCAAGCTGTTCCAGTATGATTTCTCTGTTTGCTGTATCAAAAGCTGCTGCTAGGTCGATGAAGACTGTTTGGGGGGAAGCTTCAATATGTGCGAAGTACTCAGCAAAACAGTGTTGTGTACTGAGCCCAGGCATAAATCCAAACAGTTGGGGTGACAGGTGCCCCTGTATACGATACATGAGTCGGTTAAGAACAATACGTTCAAGCACTTCACAAACACACGATGTTAAAGATATGGGTCTATAATTATCTGAGTGTGGTTTGGGGATAGGAACAATGACACTCTTTGTCCAAGCATCAGGTAATACTCCTTCACGTAAACTCATTCTGTACAACACTAATAGTGGATTACCTGGAACGTGTGAGACTAATCTCAGTAGACTGTAAGTAATACCATCCTCTCCAGGAGCAGTTGATTTTCCCATCTTTAGTGCATGATTTAATTCCCATTCAGTTACATCATTAAGGTCCGACATGTCGATAGCTGTACAGGCAGTTCGTGGGGTGTGTACGCTGTGGTTTGGGAGTGGGGGGGGGTCTAGCGGAGGGGCATTATAAATGCTTCACCCACGAACTGTAAATCAATATTGCCAACAGAACAAAAGCACTTAATTTAACCTATCATTAGACTAACTATGCGCAAAACTGTTATACAAAATATTTATTTTATTATATTTATTATTTCATTAGAGTAAAAAGTATGAATTCACCTTTGGGAATGGACGCAGCTTGGACGAACTTAATAGTTTGCACCAGTAATTTGGGACCAATCCCCATATTGGGCAAAATATGATACTGACTAATCAAAACGGCTTCGGTAACTGGCTTAAGACGTAAATTTCAACAAGAATTAAAATTACATTAAAAATTATTCTGTGGTTGCTCGCATGACTGAAAGGACTAATACTCTGTAAGCCTTTTTGTACACATGGCGACAAGGCAAGACCAAGAGGCACCCCAGCACCTGAGCTGTGAATGGCAACCAAACCAAGCTCCACTCCTCCGGGGTGTTGTGGTGCTGGATGGCACTAGCCACGGTAAGGCCTGCGAAGACTGTGCTAATGACTAGCATTCTTTTTATGTTCTCAGATACTGCGAACGTCTCAATTATGCTGAAAGCGATGCGCATGACGATGTTTTTGTGGGCGGGTTTATTCTGTTTCCACACCTTGTATGTCCACCAGACGAAGGAAATCAGGACGGTAATTAAGAGAGAGAGCAGGGCGAGCCACGGCCAGTAGAAGGACGCCATCACAGACAACGTCAGGGCTCTGCTACCTGAGTTTGGACAAGGGGAAAAAATAAGTGATAACTTCAGATGAGGAGTAATAAGCAAGCGCATCAGTCATACTTTAAGGCAAATAATAATAATCACTGATGAAATATAATAGATATCAATGGAGCTAGTCTACTTACTCGTCGAAATAATACATTTACAGTAAAATCAAATAAATACTGTACTGTGCAATAACCTAATTACAAAATATATTTCTTATTATCTGAAAATTACCTTTTACTTAATTTTTCACCTAAACAATATTAATTAAATAAATCTGTTTAATGAAACCCAATATTTTTATCATCAAACAACTCTGTATTATCAAGTATTTACTGAAACAGTTTCCCTACCAAATAAGTCACACAGCCGTGCGTATACGGCTGAACATGCACTCACTCCACACACACTCTTGTACTATTTACATGTATGAAACCTTGTTCCTGAAACTTCCTTTATAGATGTAACAAAACTCATGAGCACTACACCAGGAATAAGTATATCTTTGATATTCCTAGAGTCAAACTAAATCTATGCAAGTAAAAGGACCCTGTCTAGAGAACTCACTCCCCAATGAATATAAAAATGGTCCAACCTATGCTTTATTAAAAAAATAACCAAAAAGTACCTAATTTCCTCCTCATAGTTTCCAAACCTGTACTTCAAACTCACATTGTATCTTGTGCGACCCACTCGCCCAATCTTAATTCTTAGGGCATGCAACTTTACCAGTATAATAAATACCATCAGTTTATATTCTAGTTATTATGGTGAACTCAAATTAAACTACAATGTATTCTTAAATACTTTATCTGTTAGATTAAGGACCTGCCCGAACCATATGCGTATTAGTGGCTTTACAAGAAAGTAAGAACACCAATGTTATGTACTCTCACAACCCAACGTACATTCTTGTTTATAAATAAATAAATAAATAAAGTATGGAGGGGCAGCCAGGAAAAGTTTCTCGACACCTGGGAACTGTTGAAAATTTAAATACACTTTAAATTATTCAATTAAAAGTTTCATTTTGGGATTCCACTAGTTTTGCAACAAAGTCCTAAATTACTGCTAGGTGAACAGGGGCGAACAGTTAAGAATTGATGCCTAGTCACTCCTACCTGGCCAAGGCTCGAACCCAAATGAAGTCGCTTGCGAGACCCAAGGTCAGTGTATTACCACTATTCCCTGTTCTTGCTTATATCAAGAATTCACAGACTTCAATTTAATCACTGCCACTAACAAGCTGTCTATATACATGGCTACTAAACTATGTCTAGCCACCTTAAAATGCTTATAAGCATTATAAGCAGCTTAAGGGGTTAAACATGACTTTTTACCTTACTCGACCCCCTCAATCCATGTTTAATCAGTTTAATTTATTTATAAAGCAACTATAACTGGCAATGCCTCAACTTAACCTGCCACTGAAAGGTCATGTAGAAAAGAAAAAGTTGCTAGGAGAATTATGATTTTTTTTACTGCTATTAACGCATGATGGATTGTAGAATACTAGCATGCCTGAGAAATATGTAATGTGTGGTGAAGCTTGGGGGGACTGACCCAGGATGAGAAGTGAGGCTAAGGCGACGAGCGAACATTGCCAGAAGTGAGGATACTCGTATTCCTGGTCATAGTACTTGTACACCACGAAGAAGGTGTAGCCGAAGGCGGCGCTGATCATCGAGAGGCACATGCTGGCCACGGGGGTCCATGCTGAGGAAGGATGCCAAGAGATAATTATGAAACACTCATTTTCACTTACTCTCTTACTCACACACACACATTCTCACATCAAACGTGAGAAATGAGTCATTGCATTAATCTACGAACGTTCGGAAGACGGGGCTAGAAGCCTCGCTCGACCCTGCAGGCATATCTAGGTGAGTGCACACTTAAGGAGTGTCCAATAAAAAGCAGGAGAAATGTTGAGAGGGATTAAAGAGAGCCAGAAATGAATGCACTCTTTCCCCCTGATCGGGTTTGGATTAACGGCTTCCTCCATAAACTAGATGTGTATGTTCCACGTCCCACTCAGTGCTTCAGATGTAAAGGTTTTAACCATACCTCGAAAGGCTGCACCAAAGACATCAAATGTTGGAAATGTTCTGGTTCCCATTACTCACAAGACTGTGCGTCAGATATACTCACCTGCTCAAACTGTGGTGGTGATCATTGACATTATATTCAAGCAATGTCCTTCATTCGTAGCAACAAAAACTAAGGCTCTCCCTACTAACAACCTGCACTACAGTAGTGCACCTAACCTAGTCCATCATCAACAACAACCTCACACTCAACCACAACCTTTGCTTGTACCTGATATGTCTGTCACTTACAATCCTGTACCTCCAGAGTTCAATCCTCTCCCACAAAACGTACAACTGAATCCCGATATTGCTGAAACACTTGTCACTCGCATTGAAAATCCACTAGAAATGAGGCTGGACCGACTCCTAACTCAATTCTTTACACAAGTAAACAAACCCATCCCCAAGGCTGACCCAACACACCTCATCCACATCTACAGATAATAACATCAGCCCTAACGCAGCTACCATTGCGGTATACAAATCGTTTGAACTAATGCTGAACAAACTTCTAAATTACTACTTGCACGCCTTACCCAAGATACTCCCTCAGGCTGAATGGCAACAAACCACAACCATCGGGACTAAGAGTAAGAAATACCCAGCTGTACAAACCTCCCAGCGACCTGGCACTTTGACTGAAAAACCACATACACCACACTCCCACAACACCTCCTCCAACTACTCCCAGATATTCAACACGCTGTACTACTGGCACGTCAAAGAAAACCGATGCAATCTCATCCCAGATGTAAAAATCCGAAATACGACAACATAACATAACCCGTCTTCAACTAACCTAACCTAATACACATTAACCCCATGTTACTTCATGTACTCTAACTTACTCTACCCTAAGTTATCTGAATTGCGACTAACTCCCAAACATACTTCTACTTACAAACTCACTCTCTTGACTAAACCACACACTTTTCATAGAACAGCAACATTTTGCTGCCACCATCAACACAACTCTTTATCTTTTGCCATCCTGAGTCCATTTCCACTCATATGTTTATTTTTATCTTTATCCTCACACAAATAGAAGTGTGTTAAATCGATAACTTTCAACCTCTGCCAAATTATGAACATTGAAGCGCCACTGTAAGTGCCACATCTTTCAACATTACCACTCGTGCAGTCGTCGGGAAGAAAAATCTTTATGCAAACTGCATGCATCGCGAAGAAGACTACAGAGTGCCGTTCGTAGGCTGAATATTCACAACCTCACGGTTCCCGTTCTCCTTGACGGGGCAGGTGCGAGAGACGAAGAAGTCCGTTATGACATCCTTCGCCAAACCTTCCGCTTCGTTCGTTATGTCCGTGGCCTGAAGAGACTGTTGGAATTCCATTCCTTTTTGCTATTTCCCGGTATCGGGCAGCTAGGGCGCATCCGATCCCAAGATCGTCGTTGCCCTTCAATCAACAACAACATCAGCAATAGCTCTCCCGGGACATTACACATGAAGTTGTCCCAACTGCATGTGTAACCTTCTCAACTCCTGGTTCAACCTTGATTAGCTGACAACTGGACACCTGCTCCGCTTAGGGACCCCTGGATCACGTGAAACGATTTTACCCATTGGGTCTCGATAGTGTTACGACACCTGATTCACTTATCGCCTGGGGTCAAAGGGAAGCTGATAGATTTTACACGTTTTCTGGCTGGTTCTTTGGGCGGGAAGACTGTGTCCGGTGCTGGTTTGCCTAATAGGTAACGGGAGTTGTCAGGTCTTAGTGGGTTCCTGGTGTGCCTTCAGGACGTGATGGGGGCCTAGCTTCTGCTCTTCCGGAGGGCACTGGAAGACTTTTTTTCATTTTATCCGTTTGGGTACGAGTTTAGGAGGGACCATGTTTATGCCTTGACTACCCAGTAGTCTCTGTGTGGGGTGGGGGCAGGTGCTTGCCTCCCTGAGGGACTCTTCAGAGGTCCCCAGTCATCTGACTATCTGTGTGTTTATTCGCTCACTCGTTCCTGCCGACAGCCGATGTTCATTTAGCCATATGGTTTTGCGATTTACTCTTCAGGAGTATGCCCGGGCACATATGGCACATCTTCCGTCTTGGCCCTTAAATTAGCAATAACAACATGCAGTGGGGGAACACAAACAGTTTTGGGCCAGAGGACATGGACAAACAGGCAGCCAGTGAGGGTGCGAAGGAAGAGCACCCCTCAGAACACTTGTAAAGAGGAGGATGCCACAAGCTAAAAGCGTGCTGGACTATCCAAGCTAGAAGAAAATATTATGGAAGCCAGGAAAATGCAGAATTTCACCGTGACCCGAACGTAATAGAAGCAAGGTCCTAGGGCAAGATGGAATCCGGGTCCCAGAGGAGGATGAACAAAAAAAGTGCTGCAAGAGCCGCCGGAGAAGGGACCCAAGAGACAGGAACCTCCAGAAAAACGATACTGATGGGCTTAAGGCACGCGGAAACGAACCACGAGGAAAGTTGCATGCAAAACAGAAGACAGGGAGGTGGGTCTCGATCTCTGTCTGTCTATCTGTTTAAAGTGTGGGTGGTCACCAGGGAGAGGAGCTTAGCAATGTGAAATACTAAAAACAAATAGTTAACCCTTATTATGATAAGGGGCTGTGGCTTGAGAAACCTTTGAAGTTGTGTAAGAATCGTCTGTTTAATGTGAGTACGGGTAAATTATTGACAGCAGAAAATTTATGTTCACTTATCCGAGTTCAATGAATAATGGTGCATATTATTATACAAAATAATTTTGTTTTGAAAAGTTTGTTTTTTAAATATTTAGCTGTTTAGTTAGTAAGCTGTGCCAAAAATCGCCGTGGGGATCTATATATGGCCCTGGCACTCTGTTCCCTTTTGAATTCTGCCGACTCTGACCTGCGTATGTCCGTCCTGTACTCCAAATCTTTCCCTCTGCCAATTTGGGTGAGGCTAGTCCCAACCGTGAACAGACAAACATTATCTTATAGATATGCAACCATTGATGAGTGAAAATATTAACTAATTGCTTGCTAATGCGCGATTCTTAACTGCTCATAATTTCAAAGTTTCTCCTAAAATTAGAAATAGTTCAACTCACTCAAGAAACTGGTGGCTCTGGGGGTGAAGTCTGTGAAGAAGAAGTAGGCTTGTATGATGGTCTGCGGGACGGTCTCCAACACAGCCTGCAGCACCCGGGTGAAGGCCGCCCTCTCCACCACATTCACAGACGTTGGGCCCCCGCTCACCGCCATCTCTGCGTGTCTGTACATTCTTCCTCGATGAAAGTAAATATAATACAGCTTTATAAGATTCATTTTATTATGGTTGTTTGTTAGGTATTTGCTTATTTTTTACGAAAAAAATTACAGATTTTTGATTGAGCAAAATATTTTTGTTTTGCTAGGACGTAATGACAATTTACTGATATCTGATTTTCTCGCACTCTCCTTTTTTTCTATTGTTCTATCATAACATCCCGACATATGACCTGATAGACAGTAAATTGATGGATGAGCACATAGGGAACTGGGCCTAGGTGCTTGATTGATTGATTGATGAAGATTAAACTACCCAAGAGGTGGCACGTAAGTGGTAGATTTTTTGGAGTGAATGTGATCTTAGGTCGTGAAAGGATATACTGTGCTGAACGAGCATTTAAATCGTCAGTCCTTTATATGTGGCTGCTATCGCGGGGTAGGACACTGATTGACAGTATTTATGAGGGTGTCCAGCAGTTCGACACCATTTTTGACCAGAAGAGTGGCAGTATTGATGGCTTCAGGGGCCTAGGCGGATGGACGAGAGCCTATATATGGATTTGATCTCTGGACAGTATGTGAATGGGTGCTCTAGGGGAATAGGACCCTGGATAGTGGGTGACTGGGTGAGAATCATTGGATGGGAGCAAGGTGGAGTTGATGGATAGGTGTCTTCTAAATTAGACTCACCGACGGAGGTGACATGAGGTACTCACACTAGACACCAGGGGACTCACGAGTGGAGGAGACATGAAGTATACCATACACTGGGGGAGACATGAGGTACTCACGCTAAACACACGTAGAACTCTGGAATAAAGATGCATTTCAGCCCTTCCAGCACCTTCTTCTTTACGCTTAAGATCTTTATTTCGTGCCTGAAAAAGTAAAAAAGGTGCGAATCAGTGTTTTGACTAATCAAATATAATAGTGATGTGATTCCTCTCTGGAAATTATGATACAATAATTTAATTTTTTATTTATAACATTCTCTCTTTATTATCTTTATAATATATATGTGTTACCGCTGGAGGTGACTGGTTTAATGCACCAGGTGTTGCTCAAGAACAAGTAGTTTTGCTTATTATTGTTAAAACATGATAAGTTGATATTGCTGCAGTGTGTTGTAATCCACAAGTTAGGAGTGAATAGCTAGTGAATCAAGCACGCAACACTTAACAAATGATGGGTAGAAGTACACGTTAAGTCTTCAAACTGGTCACACATCGAGATAAGGTCAAAGGGATTAAGAAAGTCGTTGTCCACCCACATAAGCCTAAAGTGTATGAAGAGACACTGGCTGCCTGTTCCCCGACACAATGAATTAGTATTAGTATTAGTATTATTTAAGCTGTCTGACCTGTAGAATGTGGCGATAAAGTTAATGAAGATTCCGGAAACAACATGGACGATGATGATAAGGGAGCCCCACCATCTGAAGTTCAGGCCCCTCAGGATCACGTCTCTCTCACTGGCCAAGCTAAAGAGGACGCCGACGTAGCAGAAGGTGCTGAGCACGTCGCTCAAGTAGAGCAGAGCGCTGACAAATGGGAACACTTTCCACCCCAGACTTCTCAGCGTTTTTCTCCATCTCTGAGGCTCTATTTCTTTGACAGCGTCGCCTGCGGGTTCGCCTTGAGTCACTGGGCTGTACGTCCCCTCCGACATCGCTGGGCCCAGGTCAAGGGACTACCTCCGTGGTCCTACACCTGCAGGCCGGGAGTCGGTAACACAAACGTTTGTATATTCCTTCCGTCTCTGCTCACACAGTACACTTCCGTCACAGAGGAGCTGTGTTGCCCGGGTGGGTATTATGATGGTACTGTATCTTATCAGAGCAACTCTTATCTAATCGTCTCTTAACGCATATTCGATTCGATTATGAGTAGGGTGAGGATGGGGTATGAGGGGGGGATGAGGATGGAGTATGAGGCGGGGTAAGGATGATGTATGAGGGGAGATGAGGAAGGAGTATGAGTGGGGTGAAAAATTTGTTGGCGTGTCCATTTTGGATTGGTAGTAGTTGTGTTATTATTTTGCAAACGATACGTCTACTCAGCAGTCAGGAGCATGACGGCTGAGTGGACAGCGCTCAGGATTTGTAATCCTAAGGTTCTGGGTTTGATCCCCGGCGGAGGCGGAAACAAATGGGCAGATTTTGTTTCACCCTGATGCATCTGTTCACCTAGCAGTAAATAGGTACCCGGGAGTTAGACAGATGCTACGGGTTGCTTTCTGAGGATGTGTAACAGACAGGAGTCCTAGTCGAGAACCGGGCCGCTGGAAGGCTAAGCCCCGAAATCATCTCAAGATAACCTCAAGATAACAATGTGGTCGGCTAATTGGTTAGAACATCAGCTTGCCTGGCTGGTGAAGGCTGTCAGTGTTGGACTGATGTCACTGTTCTGGCGTTTGAGTTCATTACTGGCTTAGGCTTCATCAACATAGGTCCTCCAAGCATCAAGCTTTCTGCACTGTTTTCTCTTTAAATGTTTATTTTACAGTGGTTTAGTAATGCTGTATTTGTTTATTATCATTTTGTTTTTGTTTCATCAAGGGAAGATCAGAGAAGATCCACTCTCACGGGTCATCTGGGAGGTCATTCAGGATACGGGGCCGCAGGAAGTCGGGGCTATGTGTTATATTACTATGTGTTGAAGAGTGATTCTTCTGGTTCTCTGTAGCGGTTCTTGAATTTCATAATCATTTGTGTTCATGATTTCAAATGAGTCTTCACAGATTAAGAGCTCTTCATCCTGTAGAGTTGCATTCTGGAAATTGAAATTGAAATAAGTTTATTGAGGTAAAATACACACAAAGGGATGAGGTAGCTCAAGCTATTCTCACCCCGTTCAGTACATCGTGTTAATACATACATAGACACACATCACAAACAATAAACATATTACCAAACATTCTGAGAGATAAACATATACATTTCTTAGCATTCTGGAAAGGTGACTGACTGAGTCTGGTGTCCCCTGAGAGACCTGTGAGGCTGGTCGGTTCTTACTCTTTCGTTCAGCGCAAAGTTATGCAGGGAAGCGGAGTGACCTATTTTGTACTCTTTGGCTGTTCAGTTGGTTGGTTCTGGTAGTCAGAATCAGAGGGGAGGGGGGAGGGTATATGGGTATTCTAGTGCAAAGTCTGATGATCATTTTATAAAGGTGGAGCTTGACATGGGTTGGGATTGTCTGAATTTGTAAAGCCTTGCCAGGAAACTTTTGGCTAATGCTGTTTTCCCAGAGACGTACTGGCTGGAGTTGACTAGTCGGCTGATGTTGTAGCCTAGGACTGGAAATTATCCCTATCCTATATTTCTTTTCACATTCATGCTTTTTATTAACTGATTTAAGTATCTTTTAGTAAGCCAAAGGTTGTTTAACTCTCTGCTTGTGACGTTTAGTTAGTTATAATGAAGAAATGTTTGCACACCCAAGTTAATGTCTGCTATATCACAGAGTTCAGTCTCCCAGGTAATGTTACCATCAGCAGGATGAGTTATAATTAATAATTCATTGTGTCGAGGGACAGGAAGGTTTGATGATGTAAAGCAACTGAATTAATTATGCCCGAAACGCTCTGCATTTTAGTTGTTGTTTTTGTTGTTATAGATTCAGCTACCCGGAACAAAAGTTGCAACCCACACGGGCTTTGGTGAGCCCGTAGTGGACTTGAGCATTTAGTGGCTTTATTTACTATGTATGTTTACCTACAAATAAACCTCTGTAGTATATGTTCTTATATATAATTCTTACGTATAATTACGTATAATACTTCCAATGATAATGCATATTTAATTAATTAAATTATTATTATTATTATTATTATTATTATTATTATTATTATTATTATTATTATTATTATTATTATTATTATTATTATTATTATTGTATTAATAAGGGTCTCATAGCAGTTGGCTTCGTTCTCGATTCACAATCGAGTATCCCTGGTTTGATTCTAGGACGGGACAGAAATGGTTGGGCACGTGTCCTCCCTAATGCCTTTATTCTACTCCCGTCCTCAACTCTCCCCTCACCCCCAGCACCACTCCCCTCCTTCACACTCCCCTCTTCCTCCACACTTCCCTCGTGTCCCGGTAGTACAGTCGGATTCGTTCTCGACGCACAATGGAAAATTCTGGGTTCGAGTCCTGGGCGGGAGAGAAATGATTGGGCACATTTCCTTTTACCTGATGCCTCTGTTCACCTAGGAGTGAGTAGGTACTCGGGAGTTAGTCAGCTTGTGGGGTTGCATCCTGGGCGAGGTTAGTAATTCGGCCTTGGGTTGGCATCGATAAAAACAAACATCTTTGAATACACTCTGGCTTCCTGTCCCCCGACACAATGAATTAGGGTGGACGTCAGAGCGACGGTCTCGCGTCATGCAGGCCGGAGTTCAATTCCGACCGACCGTCCAAGTGGTTGGGCACCATTCCTTTCCCCCGTCCCATCCCAAATCCTTATCCTAATCGTTTCCAAGTGTTATATAGTCGTATTGGCTTGGCATTTTCTGCTGATAGTTGGCTTCCCTTCCTCCCTAGCAGTAAACAGGTACCCGGGAGTCAGGCAACTGTTATCGGCTTGCGTCTTGGGAAGGGTCAGTAGTTCAACTTTGGAGAAAACCTCGACATAAGACTAAAGTAGATGTATATACACACAAGCTTTCTGGCCCGGACAAAACGAATTAAGAACATAGCTAACCTGATTAGATTAACCTGATATGTTAGATTAAGGACCTGCTCGAAACATTATTCATGCTAGTGGCTTTGCAAGAAAGTAAAAATACCAACCTTAAGTAATCTTACTAACCGATTGTACCTTCTTGTAAATAAAAAAATATTATTATTGCCCACTATTATTATTATAAATCATTATTATTATCCTCATCCACAGGGTTATTAACGCATGGAACTGCCTACCCGCCAAAGTCATATATACAAAAACTCTGTTAACCTTTAAAGTACAGCTGGAAAAGATCATCATGACAAATGGCGGGACCTTCGACAAGCCGCCGGCTTCCTGTCCTCATCGAGGCCACTAGTGTTAGTGGCTCTCAGGTAATTATCAAAGCTCCAATTCATTTAGCTAAGTTAGCCTCAACGCCAAAAAGAAGAGAGAAAATCTTCTCAAAGAAAACTTAAAGTTAATGATAAACTTAAGGAAACCAACCAGGTTGGTTTAAACCAACCTTTTTTAAGTAAGGGTATGGACATTTATCTTTAAAAAGAAAGGTAAAACACCATACAACCTCTGAAGAGTCAACTAACACAACACATGTACCCCCTATTAGACTATTTTACAGGAACTTCTTTTCGACAACTCATAAAACGGAGGAAAGGGTCCTGAAAGTTATTGTTGATAGGAACGTTATCCCTACAGACAAAAATCAGAAAATACAATTGACGATTTACTATAAAAAAAAAGGCCAACCTACTCATGAAAAACTCTTCAGACACAAAGCAGAACGCCTTAAAGGAAACCAACGTCGTCTATGCCTTGAAATGCCCACTTGGGGACTGTAAACCCCAAGAACTCAGTATATAGGCAAGACAACAACGTCTCTTCCCAGGCGATTAGCAATGCATAAACAACAGGGCTCCATCAAGGAACATATAATCTCCTCTCACAACCAGACCATCACCAGAGAAATCTTAACAAACAACACAGAAATCATCGATAGATACAGCGATAGCAGGCGGCTCGACATCTGCGAGGCACTACAAATTAAGGAGTCAACACCAGCAATCAACAGCCAATTAATGCACAACTATATTCTACCTACTTCAAGACTCCGAACCAATATAGAAGCATCAAGAGAAAGTTTGGGCCAATAGGCCCTCTGCAGTTACTTTCATTCTTATGTTCTCATATCCAATTAATACCCATAGTTTCGTGTTTTGTCTTGTGTTTGTCACAAGTTTGTTCACCTCACCCAAAACTGTTGTACCATATCACCTTACCCAAATGCGAGTATAAATATGGACGGATTTGCCTGTTTACAGGTTACAGTTGTGTGTGTAAAGTAAAGTCTTTGAAAATGTAATAAGTTATTACGAAACGCGTTCAAGCGTCGCGTTAGACTAGAAATAAAAATGAACTTTGGAAAATTGATTTTTCAATTACCATCGATAATGAAAAGAAACATAAGAAATATTGAGAAGATTCGTGTTAGAATTATTAATCTTACCTTTTCGGTCATATTTAACAACATATGTTTACAAGAGAGACTGCTATCAATATATATATATATATATATATATATATATATATATATATATATATATATATATATATATATATATATATATATATATATATATATATATATATATATATATATATATCTTGGATCCTGTCCTCCAGATCGTCTTCGACTCGCCTCCGCCACCTCCCCTTGGCCCAACACGTTTATAAATCTCTACTTCCCTCCGCCCCAGTCACGTCCCACTACCCCCTACACCATGTTGCTAACTGGTGATAATATCACCGCTCCGCCTCTTCTATCTGGCAGCTCATCCTCTCCTTCGATCACCCTACCCACAATACCCCCTCATACCCCCGATGTCCATACCCTTACTTCCTCGCATGGGAATGTGTGTGTCTGTATACACCCAGCATTGCTTACAGGGTCGAGCAATAGCTCACTAGCCCCGCCTTTTCATATCATAGTTAATTAATACGACTTTCATTCCCCTCTCGTTCTCGTTGTATTTTCTTTAGAAGCTGTTTATTAAATTTTCCTCGTCAATCTCATCGTGTTCAATACGCTAAGACTCCGACCCTAAAGACATTTTTCCTGACGTCCCTCCGGCTCATCTGTGTC